CGGAAGCACTCGATGCGCATGCACCTAGCTAGGCGTTACCCTATAGGAATACCAAAGCACTGTCAAGCGCATACCGTAAGGCTCAATCGTCATTGCCAAAACGATTGGTGACTCCAAACGGCCCCACTGGATAGGTATTTCATCGCCGCAGCGGATGAGAACACTGTATCCGCGTGAGCTTAATCTTAGATCAGGTTAAACAGTCGAAAAGAGGGAAATTAATTTCATTCAGACCGTATATCCCAGAGCAAGCCTACTTAAAGTATGCATTAGGCGCGTGACCTAATTCCAGTATTTGTAAGCATGCATCACAAGGTTGGGATACACGACAGACAATTAAATACATAATTGTCAAAATACAAATAAGGACAAAGCACACAAAAAGCTGCCCTCACCTGTGGTGTGAGTGCGCTGGTTTGCGGGACCCCAACTCCTGTACCCACGGCAGTGGGAACATTGGAGTCGACCCAGATTGACCACCGTGCAAGGTCTGACGCCTGAGGAGTTCGGAATTGCGCTGGGCACACCCCTTAGGTGCTCGCTTGCGCCGCGATCCGCGGGCCAAGACGGTGCACACTCTCCACAACGGCTTCAGCGACCTGTTTGAGGTAATGATTGGCAAAAACCGAGTTAGAACGCCAGTAACAACCTCGTAATATTCTGCGAACAGAGATATTCGAGTGTAGGGCAAATGTGGCCGCTAGCGCCCTGATCTCGTGCAGGTTTGACCCCTCTACCGGTAACCCCCGAGACCAGTACGCCAGATTGATGACAGAACGAAGCCACAACGCAATCGAGTTGCGAGTTATGTCAACCGTGCGATTAGGGTTACACGATATGAACAGACAGTCACGCCCTTGTCTACGTTCATTCGAAGCCTTAAGATAATACTTAAGGGCCCTAACCGGACACAGCGCTTTGTCCTCAGTATCAGCAGGATGTAAGATTTCTTTGAGTGATCTTACAGTGAATTCTCTCTCCGTTTGCCTGATTCTCTGATTCTTGGCGACGAAGCCCATGAGCAGGCCCAGGCGGACCGCTCCTTCGTCACCCCTATCGAATCGTACCTTGGCGACATCGAGTGCATGAATTTCGGATACACGTGCCGCCGTGGCAAAGGAGAGGAGAAATGCTGTTTTCCAAGTCACATGCCGGAACGAAGCACTATGCAAGGGTTCATACGGAGTTTCCGTAAGGCATTGCAACACTAGGGAAAGATTCCAGGCCGGTGCCCGAAGGCGGCCCTTCTTAAGATCGTGCTGTTTGAAACCCTTGATAATACCCCGTATCACCGGCTCTTTGGAGAGACTGGTACCCATAGCAACGTCCCGTACCATAGCAACGGACGAGATATAGTTGGCAATGGAACCCCCGGAGAATTTCCGGGTCTCTCGCTTGTCAGACATGAAACGAGCAATATCCTGCACAGATACCTTATCTGGCGAATGAATGTGATGTTTACAACACCACTTCGTGAAAATAACCCAACGTGCATTATACACCTTCTGGGTAGAATCACGATGCATACTAACGTATGCCCGAGACGCCCAGATTGAACTGCCCTGTGTTTGGATGAAGCTGACGGGTGTGAGGGTGGATCAAGAGATCCGGTCTCACAGGCAGTGGAAGTGGCGACTGCGTGACCTAGGTCAGCAAGTCGGGGTACCACGATCTGTTCGGCCACATGGGCGCGATCAGTAACATTCGACAGCGAACTCCTCGGAGCCGGCTTAGAATGTGTGGTATCAACGCAGTCGGGGGTTAAACATAAGCGTCCAAGCCCGTCCAGTCTAACGCGAGAGCATCGTGATCGATGGCCCTCGGGTCCGGGACTGGTGATACAAACAACGGGAGTTGATTGTTGAACCGTGTTGCGAACAGGTCGACCATCGGAAGACCCAAACGTTCGCACAGCCACTGAAACACTACTGGGTTCAGCATCCACTCTGTGGGGCTCGGATCCTGAGGCCTCGATAGAGCATCGGCCAGTACGTTCCGCACACCTGGGATGTGACGGGCGCGTATCTGGCACGGGACACTGTCCACTAGAGCGTAAAACTCGAACGTGAGATCGAGTAGCGAGTGACTGTGGGTTCCCCCCAGTTTGTTCACATAGGACACTACCGTCGTGTTGTCGTTCGCCAGGATGAGCCGGGCATCGACGAGACGATGCTTCCAGTAATTGACTGCGTTGATCACTGCCTTGAACACGAGACAATTGATGTGAAGACCTAGTTCGTCTACGCACCACAGCCCCGAGCTCACCTCCCCTCAAGATGGGCGCCCCAGCCCACTAGAGAGGCGTCTGTATACAGGTGCAACGTGGCCCGGTAGGGCCGCATAGAGACTCCTGATAAGACATTGTAAGGGACCGTCCACCACTCCAGATGCGGTCGGAGCCGATCCGGGAGCCCAAAAGTGAACAGTCTGTTGCACCGCTAAGACTTTGGCAATCATCGCCTGAATCTTGTGCCACCGGTCTGGGGGGACAAAGAGGGGATGGGACACCCTGTTGAACCGACCTCCGATGAACAGTTAGTTCTGAGAAGGGGTTAACTCGCTCTTGGGGAGATTGATAATCCACCCCAATTGCTCCAAGAGCCGACGTGCGAAAACGAGATGGCGTGACAGGGTGTCCGTCATTCGATTTGCTACTAGCGAGTCGTCCAGGTACGCGAAGTACCGGACACCCCTCCTGTGGAGGAACCCCACTATGGGGGTGGTGAACCGGGTGAACAGCCAGGGAGCGGACGTGTGAATCATTCTGAGTTCGGCACTGTCCTACTTGGGAACGACAAATATCCTGGAGTAAAACCCCGGTGTTATTTCTGGTAGAGCTAACTCCCGTACTGCTCCTTCTCCACCAACCTGCCGATGGCATCGGCGAGGAAGGGAAGATCGGTTTCCGAATCGAAACCTGCTAACGGGGCAACGGTGAGCGGCGGATTCGCTTTGAGATCAAGCCGATAGCCGTACCGAATCGTGTTGACCACCCACGGGTCGTCGAACACTTGTTCCCAATTCTCCCAGTAAGTCTGGAGTCTGGCTCCCACTGGGGAAGGAGAGGGGGCCCTGACAGGCTGCGGTAGGCGCAACTGTCCAGGGCCAAGTGACTCGGGTTCGCCTAAGGGCCAACCGAAGTTGGCGCTGTCGGCATACGAACCCCTCCAATGAGAGTCACCTGGAGGGGCCCTTGCCGTCCTTAGACGACTTGGGCTTCCCCCAGTTCCCCGTCTTCCCGCGAAAGGGCAGCTGATTGCCCATACAGGAGCCCTCAGGGCGGGGCTTCTTCCCAGAGGAAGAAGAACCCGACCCCTTAGACCTACCGGCCGCAGCAGCCTGGGGCGCGCTCCGGTTAGGAGCGGCACCCAGGCGCCTATGCAGGGACCCAACAAGAGCAAGTGTGTGCCGAGAGTCCTCGGCAACGTACTCCAGGGAAGCATTTAAACTGAGCAGGCAGTTGTAAATGCGCTGGTCACGGTCCGTGGGAGAACCTTCGACCAGACTGGCCGCTGCAGCCAAGTAAGTGTCTCCATGAGACATGGAGTGCCGAGTGAGGGCGTCCAGCTGGTGCACGATGGGGCACGGACACCCAACCGCTCAACATGGGCCTCCGTGGTAGGACCAGCCTCGGGAAAGGCAAAGTCATGTACCGGGAATAAACCCTTTCTCCACGACGTCGGAGGAAACGGGAGACCCCGACCTGAGGCCGCCGCGAAGGCGTTCTCCAAGGAAGGCTTGATACCGCGCAGCAAGGTTGATGCGGGGAAAGCCGTGTCGGAAGACTCTCGTATACCTCGGAGGAACCCACAGTCGTGGATTCCCCACGGTACCGGCCGGGGCCGTGGCATGTCCTCAAAGAGGTCATAAACCATGGCCACGCGGTCCTTAACCGATAGCGGGAGCAACGGTTCGGGGGAAGGACCGGTGACCACGGGAGCCGCCGCCCTACCGGTGGACCCCGCGGCCACCGAAGTGGCCGGGGACGGAACAGCCAGCGGCCTATCCTGAGATAAGGCCGCCAGCTTGGAGTCAACAAGTTATGCAAGTAAAGCAGCGACGGAATCCCCGGACAGCCCACGGGCCGCCAAGGGATCCGCCGCAGCCGTTGTGGTGGTACCCGCAAGGGGACCCCGACCGGACGAGCCGGCCACCACAGGGGTGGAAACGGACTGCACATACAGCCGGTAGCGCTTGCTTGCGGCACACCCCGCAGCTCCTGGTTGCGGGGGTAGAGGGGGTGGAGGACGGCAAAACATCCATGTCAGACATTTTGTTTGTACTATGAACAAAGAGCAAAACATGGTTACAACACACGCACCACAAATAGTCACAAACGAGTATTTTCACAAGAAAATAAACGAGCAATGGGAATATAGAACATACACATATAACATATAGAGGAATAAGTGATGTAAAAACCCCAAGATATACTAGAACAGGGGAACGTAAGACGCAACGTGCATACGAGACACCCCACAAGTATATAGAAAAAAAGGGCGGGAAAAATATTTCCTTTTGGCGGGAAAAATATTTCCAAGCATAGTTACAGCAAACGCCCCGTAAAAGCACAGTTTATTAGGGAGAATAAACAGTAATAAATATCACCGAATGGTCGGAGAAACAGGAACGCTTGAGCAGTTTATTGTACGTCTTGCGAAGAGACAAGAGTGAAGGGTGAAGGGTAATTGATATCTCTGTGGTAGATTTCGCTATAGCAGCAGTTGTGGGGGACAACAGCCTCGGTATAACAGTGGTAACGTATTACTTAATGTAATTGACTCGTGTTTGATGTTTTGCCATTGGACAATGGCTATACATCCATTATTTGTGTTACCACACTATTGGTTGATGTAACCTGATGGGTGAATGACTAAACCAGGGGGCCACCTCACTGCCTGGGACAAGTGAGTGAGCAATACATGTATGTGTATGATTGTAACCATGACTTTGTAGGTGAGTCCATGTAGTTAGCTGTAACCAGAATTGGAGTCACTCACATAGTATGCATGCTTCAGCTTCTTCTCATCGTCTGTGGCCCCTGGGGGTGGTGCGGGGGCTCGTCTAAAACACAGCAGAATGGAATGAAACAAACTTAAAGGAATAGATAAAATATGGATCTTGTGTGTCATTTCCGAAATATTTTGAGTACGGTTGGTTGGTTGGTTGGTTGGTTGGTTGGTTGGACCAGACAATCCAGTGATTGATATCAACCAAGTCAGTGAGTCTGACCACCTGTTTCGTTAGTCGCCTCTTACGACAAGCATAGTCACCTTTTACGGCAAGAATGGGTTGCTGAAGACCTTTTCTACCCCTGATCTTCATGGGTCTTAAAAGTACGGTAAATAGGAATTGATGTTGATAAGCCCTCTATGAATTACCTAGCCACGTGGTCAGCAAGTCCTGACAATACAATCTGGCGTAGTAGCTTTGCCTGGAGGTCAGTGGGAGGGGTCAACTTGGGGTCAACACACAGGTCAGCCTCTGGAATAACTCCATTGACTGAAAGAAAATTCATGTTATTTAACATATAGAAAGGTAAGAGTCAAAAGGAGGGTCCAGTCATGTCCTGACAACCATTTACCCGTGTAGATTCATCCTATTATCCTTCTGTAAAATCTGAACCAATGACTAGCAGATCCTGGCGTACCAAACAGACATCACTCACAGCCATCCATGATCCAAAAGATTTTCGGGATGTCATGTGACTTATTGAGTTATATTTTCAACTAACCTTTATTTTACCTATATATAGTACACACCTGCATTTGTGAGTTGCCCCCGTAGCTTTCTGATCTCCTTCATGGCCTTGAAGCGGATCCCGAACTTGTAACAGAAGTCTGGAGAGAAGCCCTCATACTCACAAGAGCCCACAGCCTTCAAAAGGATCATCAGGTCGCCTAGCAACAGGGAGTTACCCTGGAACAGTCATCAAAAGGCATCAAACTTAGCATCCACTTACAGCATGATATATAGATTAGGAAAACATGGGTTATAAGCAATATGTCACTTTAGACGACATATTGTGGGGCTTTTAAACATATTGTAAGAATAAATATGACCAAACAAAAATCTTTCTTACTGAAGACGATATCCTAAATATTTAAACCATTTCTTCTTTTCAATAACATTTCTCCTTAATACTTTTATCATCCATTTTCCATATCTCCCACTCTGAATATCACGCCCTTCCCTAAATATCATGCCCTTCCCTCAATATCACGCCCTTCCCTCAATATCTCCCCGATCCCCTCAAGATCACACCCTTCCCTCAATATCTCCCCAATCCCCTCAAGATCACGTCCTTCCCTCAATATCTCCCCGATTCCCTCAAGATCACGCCCTTCCCTCAATATCTCCCCGATCCCCTCAAGATCACACCCTTCCCTCAATATCTCCCCAATCCCCTCAAGATCACGCCCTTCCCTCAATATCTCCCCGATCCCCTCAAGATCACACCCTTCCCTCAATATCTCCCCAATCCCCTCAAGATCACGTCCTTCCCTCAATATCTCCCCGATTCCCTCAAGATCACGCCCTTCCCTCAATATCTCCCCGATCCCCTCAAGATCACACCCTTCCCTCAATATCTCCCCGATCCCCTCAATATCACGCCCTTCCCTCAATATCTCCCCGATCCCCTCAAGATCACACCCTTCCCTCAATATCTCCCCAATCCCCTCAAGATCACGTCCTTCCCTCAATATCTCCCCGATTCCCTCAAGACCACGCCCTTCCCTCAATATCTCCCCGATCCCCTCAAGATCACACCCTTCCCTCAATATCTCCCCAATCCCCTCAAGATCACGCCCTTCCCTCAATATCTCCCCGATCCCCTCAAGATCACACCCTTCCCTCAATATCTCCCCAATCCCCTCAAGATCACGTCCTTCCCTCAATATCTCCCCGATTCCCTCAAGATCACGCCCTTCCCTCAATATCTCCCCGATCCCCTCAAGATCACACCCTTCCCTCAATATCTCCCCGATCCCCTCAATATCACGCCCTTCCCTCAATATCTCCCCGATCCCCTCAAGATCACACCCTTCCCTCAATATCTCCCCAATCCCCTCAAGATCACGTCCTTCCCTCAATATCTCCCCGATTCCCTCAAGACCACGCCCTTCCCTCAATATCTCCCCGATCCCCTCAAGATCACACCCTTCCCTCAATATCTCCCCAATCCCCTCAAGATCACGCCCTTCCCTCAATATCTCCCCGATCCCCTCAAGATCACACCCTTCCCTCAATATCTCCCCAATCCCCTCAAGATCACGTCCTTCCCTCAATATCTCCCCGATTCCCTCAAGATCACGCCCTTCCCTCAATATCTCCCCGATCCCCTCAAGATCACACCCTTCCCTCAATATCTCCCCGATCCCCTCAAGATCACACCCTTCCCTCAATATCTCCCCAATCCCCTCAATATCACGTCCTTCCCTCAATATCTCTCCGATCCCCTCAATATCACGCCCTTCCCTCAATATCTCCCCAATCCCCTCAAGATCATGTCCTTCCCTCAATATCTCTCCGATCCCCTCAAGATCACGCCCTTCCCTCAATATCTCCCCGATCCCCTCAAGATCACGCCCTTCCCTCAATATCTCTCCGATCCCCTCAAGATCACGTCCTTCCCTCAATATCTCCCCGATTCCCTCAAGATCACGCCCTTCCCTCAATATCTCCCCGATCCCCTCAAGATCACACCCTTCCCTCAATATCTCCCCAATCCCCTCAATATCACGTCCTTCCCTCAATATCTCTCCGATCCCCTCAAGATCACGTCCTTCCCTCAATATCTCCCCGATTCCCTCAAGATCACGCCCTTCCCTCAATATCTCCCCGATCCCCTCAAGATCACACCCTTCCCTCAATATCTCCCCAATCCCCTCAATATCACGTCCTTCCCTCAATATCTCTCCGATCCCCTCAATATCACGCCCTTCCCTCAATATCTCCCCAATCCCCTCAAGATCATGTCCTTCCCTCAATATCTCTCCGATCCCCTCAATATCACGTCCTTCCCTCAATATCTCTCCGATCCCCTCAATATCACGTCCTTCCCTCAATATCTCTCCGATCCCCTCAAGATCACACCCTTCCCTCAATATCTCCCCAATCCCCTCAAGATCACGCCCTTCCCTCAATATCTCCCCGATTCCCTCAAGATCACGCCCTTCCCTCAATATCTCCCCGATCCCCTCAAGATCACACCCTTCCCTCAATATCTCCCCAATCCCCTCAAGATCACGCCCTTCCCTCAATATCTCCCCAATCCCCTCAATATCACGCCCTTCCCTCAATAGCATGCCCTCCTCAACCCTCTATATTTCCTCCATGCTCAATATCTCCACTCTCAATATCTCCTTCACCCTCTATATTCTCCTCCATGCTCAATATCTCCACTCTCAATATCTCCTTCACCCTCAATCCTCGATATCTCCTCCATCCCTCAATATCTCCACCCTCGATCCTCGATATCTCCTCCAGCCTCATAGCTCACTTAACATCAATTTCAAACCTTATGCCAAATATACTTGCCATCAATCATCCCTTTTATCACTATGTAATATTCCTCCTCCCAAAGCCATTCTGCCACTCACCTCCCCTGCCCACATCTTCTTGATCTGCATCGTCCGTGATAGCCTCTGCTTCATGTCCTCCTTCTGTGGAAATCAAGTCATTCAGGCCAAATCATGTCACCTCATATTGAGGGTATATCCAGTTGAAGTGAGTGATGGAGTTGGGTTCTTAACAGTATTTCTGATAGATATTTAATGCAAGTCATGAATGCCTACCACTTTGGCACAACAAACGAGCACAGCTCTTGTGCTGACAGGGCAATAATCAGGGCAAATCTGTGACTGCCACACATAAGCAGCAGATCCTAACATGGTTAAGGCACACAACTTTATTTAGCGTAAGTCCAACAGGGCACATATGCTTCTCCCTTGCAAACAGCCTCATAAGGAGCATGTAGCATGCTTCCTACAGGTGACAAACAAGAAGATGAAGCTGACATATTCCTGTGACATCAGTCATTTTATCCTGAAGTCAGGCTTCCTGAAGATATTACTGATTTAGATTTGTCTGTTGCATCTCACCTGTGTGTCCGTAGACGAGGGAGGCTGTATTTCCGTGAAGACCTGGTCGACTGAGAGGGCAGACACAATGGTGATGACATAGGGAAGCAGGTTGTGCTGGTGTCCTAGGGAGAGCATCTTGCTGTACCGAGGCGACACGGGGAAACACGCCATAGCTCGTCCTACCGGCGTTATCTTGGATGGGGTTCCTGGACAACCAAATACACTTTCAGTAGTTCAGTACATTGTTTGACACACTTCAGGTTAAGTGTTTACACTTTTGTCTCGTGTTTAAGTCATTTTAACTTCAGCTTACTGGGTTCAGCTTGTGAACATGTCTATTCTTTGCTCATTAATTCATAAGCCTTTGAGATCAGATAAATATACAGAATTCATAACATTTCAGATGATGCAAACACTGGCTCATGACCATGTGCATATCTGCAGATTAGATGATTAGATACAACGGAAAGTAATAGATTGATGTTGCTAAAACCCTAAAGTCTGTTAAAGGGGATAAATTCCTGTTGCACACCAAGGGAGATAATAAACATTTACAGTCAATTTATATGGGAAGATATATTTGTATAAATTAGAGCCAAACTATAAGATTTGTGCTCAGTGTCTCTTAAGAACAAAATTTGAGTTTTTAATATGTTCTCAAAACAACATACACCATAATCAGACTGATCTGAAAAAGATAAGATGTCATCGTAAGAGGAAACCTGCATGCTCAATGTCAGCCTCATCAGTCAATCAGTATGCGAGGGGAAATAGTTAAGAGCAGTGACAGGGTTACTTTCACTGAGCATGTACAGTGTCCACCTTTCAGGAAGTAAACGACCATCATACCTTTGTTCATGTCTCTGTAGGACTTGGGTTGCTGCGGAGGTGTTAGTGCTCCCAGGGAGATCAACAGCTTCTCACCAGCCTGGTGATCAACATAACCAAACTATATAAAACTAGCAAGTAATACTATTCATGGTATTTAGCATGAAACAATGGAGATGTAATACACTGGATAACAGATGATGAGCCATGACCAGGACTGGACCAGGACCATGGAATACCCACAAGGGTAAAATGACAGTACTCACAAGCTGCTAGTTGTTGGACCGTAATACATTAGTTATCAGATATGCATAACATTTTCTTTTTTTAAGAGAGTCTGTAGGCATTTGATTTTTCATAATAGTTTTTGCTTATAAATAAAATAAGGAATATGTGTCCATTAACTAGATTCAGAAATAATTCAAATGATGTATGAATGTAGGAACATGTATATGATGTATTTCTTCAAGGAACACACATAAGGATTGAGTCTGCCTGTAGGTACCTGAGGATAATACCATGATACATGGCAGCATATTTGGTTGTGAGGCAGGATAGGATGAAAATCGGGTAATGAAATTATTATGGCCTTAATAAGATATACTTGACTCTAATAGCGTTAAATAACTTCCTGAAGCCTGTATTACGATGAGCATATAGTTGTATGCCTCACATTACAAGCTAAACTTCTACATGGCTTTATTGACCCTGACCTTTATTTGTTCCACATCGGGTGGAGTAGGGAAGGGAAAGTTGGCCACCCTGTCGATGTTCATATCCTGGAATGAGAAGTGTCAACAGCAATAATTTCACAAATAGTCAAAGCATGTGATGTACAGGGTTTCAGCCGGCGCAAAATGTTTCTCCTATATGCATAGAAATAGTGTTTCAGCACTGTAGCTCACCTGGACATGAAGACAACAGTTTAAATGTCAGACAGACAGACACATAACAACAGTTGCTGTCATCACTGATGTTCATATATATTCTGCATAAACTAAGGACCAAAAACTGATAAATCTGCATGATTTGAACAAAACATGATGTCATCATGAGAAGAATCCTACATGCTACAGTTCTGCCTCCTCAGTCTGGCAGTGTCCGACAAGAAGTTTACACAGCCAAATATTCATTAAGATAGAATTTAAAAGCATGGTCAAACCACAAAGGTCAAAGCATGGCCAAAATTATAATATTGCAAAAAACAGAACATATGTGAGTGCCAGAAAAAAAGAAAACACCAAATTTGTTACATTTTCAATAAATATGGCTGAGTTGGGCCATGGATAGGTTTTTCAAAATGGCTGCCTTGGAACAAACAGACCATGGCATAAATGTGCATTTCTGATTAAATGCAATGTTTTTATACTTACCTGACACTACACAGTGCTTTAGCTTCCCCATCTTATACAAACAGACAGTACTGGAATAAAGAGACAAATGTTAAGGCGGCAGAGGAGGACAGAGTTCGGGTGGGCCTATAGTAGTGGCATCAGGTAAGTATAAAAACATTGCATTTAATCAGAAATGCTCATGTTTTACCTTACCTGATGCTACACAGTGCTTTATTTGACTGACATGGGAGGCGGGCTTACCGTGAGAAGCACCTGGCATACTGAAGAAGCACAATAAAAACGTCTGGCAAGAAACCCAGCAGGCGACAGCATAGTAGCGGCTCCCGGAACGGCAGGCAAGGGGAAAGGACATAGGTCAAGCCCTCTTGGAACAGAATAATGGACTGGTAATTTTGACTGGCAGTTTCAAAAGCCAGTGGGAACACTAGAGGGTAGACGTTGGCAAAGTCCATAGAGTGGAAAGGGTAATACTCCTATCGGAATCTCAGGACTTGAATAGATAGTTGAACAGGGAGGATCAGAAAGGTAGTGTCTAACAAGCTGGCCACATCAGCAAACAACTGGTCCCGGGGGAGGAGAACTTCTCCAGACTCCAAAACTTGGTGTTCCACCAGGCGAGGCACAAGGGAGATGATCCACAAGCCAAACAGGCCTTTCCGCAGGGCATATCGCTGGCGACGGTCCAGCAAAACATGGCAACACTGTCCCGCAGATAGCTGACGACGGCACTTGCCAAAAGCATTGGGGATGTCATCAGGACTGTGAGAATGTCGACGGGAACCAAGGGAACGGCGGGATGAAGTATCCGACGAGGTGCGGGAATGTCAAGTTACGAGAGCCACTAACATCCAGGTCATTGGACAATGGTGAAGGAGTTGCTCACAAAAGGCATGAACGGAAGTAGGATTAGAAAAATCAAGCGTCACAGATGGAGTAGATTGGGGAGGAGGACCCGAAGGAACCGTCGGCGGCAGAGGGAGGGGAAGAGGTCAGTAACAGAGGCTAAGGACCAGGTATCTTCTCCCTGTGAGCAAGTTGTTTCTGGCGATGAAGAAGAGCCTTTCTGTAAGAATTAAAGTCTGTAATTGACATGAGAGTGCAAAGGGAGGAACGATTGTCAAACAAAAACGCAGGCTTGACAAAACAAGGTAAGTAGAAACTCTGTTCCAAACCGTGTCTGTCCGTAGGGCAGAGAGGAATATGAGGGAGTAGGGGCCAAGGTCGATAACTCGTGGGCTTTATTCTGCTAGTCTGTCTCTTCGTTCCAGTACTGTCTGTTTGTATAAGGTAGGGATGCTAAAGCACTGTGAAGCATCAGGTAAGGTAAAACAGAACATTTATTTTCAGTTACTTTTATGTGATATTTCTATTATATACAATTAATATTCCAGCAGCCCATGTTAGATGGTCTTCACTCAAGCTCTTAGTTTTGATTCAAGCAAGTAAATTCCCCATCTGTAAAAAGCATAAGGCAACGGTAAGTAATAAAGCAACTTTGTATTTTATATGCTCTTGGTACAGTGGTTGTCCTAGGACCCCCATTTCATGTATAACTGAGAATCTGCTGCACCAATCATGCAGGTAGATTCCTGCAGACTAAGGTAGACTCCTGCTGACCACTGCAGACCAAGGTAGACTCCTGCAGGCCAAGGTAGACTCTTGCAGGCCAAGGTAGACTCCTGCCGACCACTGCAGACCAAGGTAGACTCCTGCAGGCCAAGGTAGACTCCTGCAGGCCAAGGTAGACTCTTGCAGGCCAAGGTAGACTCATGCAGGCCAAGGTAGACTCATGCAGGCCAAGGTAGATTCATGCAGACCAAGGTAGACTCCTGCAGGCCACTGCAGACCAAGGTAGACTCTTGCAGACCAAGGTAGATTCATGCAGGCCAAGATACAATATGCAGGCCAAGGTACACTCCTGCAGGCTACTGCAGACCAAGGTAGACTCTTGCAGGCCAAGGTGGACTCTTGCAGGCCAAGGTGGACTCTTGCAGGCCAAGGTGGACTCTTGCAGGCCAAGGTAGACTCTTGCATGCCAAGGTAGATTCCTGCAGGCCAAGGTAGACTCCTGCAGGCCAAGGTAGACTCTTGCAGGCCAAGGTAGATTCATGCAGGCCAAGGTAGACTCCTGCAGGCCAAGTTAGACTCTTGCAGGCCAAGTTAGACTCCATCAGCCCAAGGTAGACTCTTGCAGGCCAAGGTAGACTCCAGCAGACCACTGCAGGCCAAGGTAGACAGACTTCTGCAGGCCAAGGTAGACTCCTGCAGGCCAAGGTAGACTCTTGCAGGCCAAGGTAGATTCCTGCAGCCCAAGGTAGACTCTTGCACGCCAAGATAGACTCCAGCAGACCACTGCAGGCCAAGGTAGACAGACTTCTGCAGGCCAAGGTAGATTCATGCAGGCCAAGGTAGACTCCTGCAGGCCACAGCAGGCCAAGGTAGACAGACTCCTGCAGGCCACAGCAGGCCAAGGTAGATTCATGCAGGCCAAGGTAGATTCTTGCAGGTATCATGCATACCATGAACAATTTCATCTGGTTCCTAAACCACCTGACAAAACGTACCTTCATTTGTAGAATAAGATCATCAACTGGACGCCGAGAAATTTCTGGAGGAGCAAATTTCTCAAAATCATCATTGAAGACTGCAGAGGAATATAATCTGAAAGGAAGGTAAACACTTCATGTCTTGACTGCTTCACATACAGTGGAATAATCCATACATAAAATAACATGTCTTAGTAATATTTACCACACTAAGTGAGAATACAATATAAACTCTGCTTGTCAGTGACTAAACACAAATGACTACCAACGACAGGGCTTCAAGGGAACCCTACTGCCACTGTTTGAGAAGCTCTATCACACTGTACCTATAGCAATGACCGGCACCCACACGCCCAGCACGACCTGCTCTCTGATTGGCTGCAGCCTTAGATGCCCAAGTGACCCGAAAAGTGGAAACACCAGTAACCTTGTCATAAAACTTGGTTTTTGTCTGAAAAGAACATTTACAAACAAACTGTTTTATTATTAAGGCATCTGAGGGCCTAGATTGTCCACGGCCCTGTCACACAAAGACATTTTAGGGTTAAGTCTGCCTGGGGTCCTGTTTCACAAAGCCTATTATCTGTACAAATGTCTGGGGTTTGGTTTAACAAAGACATCTAAGCACTACACAAAGCTATCTTGGCCCTAATGTTATGTCAGTGGTGTGACTGCACTACACCAAAGATATTATTAAGTTGACATTAATACTACACCAGACAATGGGAGCTTTTAGGAAAATATGAGAAAGAATATTCGGTCAGAATGATAAACACATAAATATTCTTTTCACACAAAATACACCTTGGTTGAACAGACATGTAGGTATTCACAACATGTTCATAACCCAGCCATAATCAGACACACCTCCAAGAGTACTTACAACAATAGAATAAAGCTTTAATACACTGAAGAACTGATGATGCATGGTCATCAAACCTCCCTACCTTTCCTGTATCCACAACATACTTGATGTTGGGGATGGTGAGCGACGTCTCAGCAACATTGGTGGCGACCACACACAGCCGACATCCTTCTGGGGGAGGCTCAAACACCTAAGGGACAGGTACTTTTATTGTAACATTGTCAAACTTTATGTAAGTAGCCCCCCATAAACAATATTAAATACTTTCTATTCCTCAGGTAATCTTTCAAGTCCCCCCAAGGCAAGGATGGCCCAGTTGTCTCATCATACGTCTCTGTGCTGCGTTGCACCTATGATCGTGGGTACATTTATGTTCCTAGGTCAGACCAACCATGGTGCATGAGGACACACAAGCAGCCAGATCACGGGTAAGAACCATCTCATACTAATCATCAGTATACTCTTACAACTGGAATCCCCACATGCCACTTATAGAGCCCTTCCAATGTTGTGACCTTGACCTCCTTACCTTGACCTGCTTGTCACTTGAGAGAAGGGAGTACAGCGGCAGAACGTACATGGGGTCAGAAGAGCTGCCGGCACCAGTTTCCTGGAATACAAATATATACCAACGTGAAGTGGGAACCAGGAACCACAACATCTCACTTGCCTTTGTGGCACACGCATGGAGAAGGAGGTGGACTTTTGTAACTGAAGAATGTGTCCACCACCCCACCATACTCTTCATCTGGACAGGTACAGGTCAGGATATTTATGAAAATATGACCACTTTTCCCATAATCCCAACACAGGCTTCTCTGTAAATCACTAGCATGTCCTCCCCATCATCCCCGACTCAAGGCCTCTTAACTTTTGGAATAATATTTATGGTAATGTAGACACAAAGTGCCCTTCAAGGTGAATCGGTTTTAATGAGCTAAGAGTCTTACTCTGACCTAAGATGCCCACAGGAGGAAAAAATTGGAGACACTAAAATCACTTAACAGTTGTCAAAGTCATGATAAGCAGAAGGGAGACTGATGCCAAAGCAACACTCAACCAGCTCTTATAAACATAGGAAGGTTGACTACTGTCATTTCTGGTTTACATCAAAGAGACTAGATATGATGACCAGCAGTATTATCATAGGGACACAGAGGTGACTGACCTGGTCTGAAAGATCCTCTATGTCCTCCAGTCCAACGTCCACATCGGAGTCAGGCTCTCCATAGTCCACGTCTGTCTCCTCATCCCTTGGCACAACCGAGTAGCTGACACAACACACAGCACACCATACAGACCCAGACACTTTACACATTACCTTTATGCTGCTATCTTTCAACTGTCCATTCAACACATTCTGATGTACCAATAACACACTACAGGGAATAGTCTGTTTTATCATCATAAACATTTCCAAATAATAATTAAGGTAGCTAAATTGAGAAATTGATATTAACAAACCATAATGCTATCCCCCAACTGTTTGAATGAATCATTCATCATGATAACGTGCAGTGAGGAATGAGGGCCTTACTCCACTTTATGCAATATTCCAGCAAAATGACAGCCGGGGGAACTAAGAGTATGCTTCACACATTGTACCCATGTGGGGACCCAGAGTCTTCAGCCTGACAAGCAAGACTGCCCCCAGCCGTGTGGGGGATGATCAGCTGAACTGATCGAGATCCCAGTTTATTATACACACTAAATCGGTCCAGGGGTATAATGATCTCCTCTCGTTGACTAGTCATCTGCCTACTATCCATCCTCTTATTCCGGATACCAAGCTATTTGGCTACTGTAGCCCCATAAAACAAGCCTGTCTGCAGTAACAGATACATTTAGATTGTATTCCAGTGGTGTTTCCCTGTCTGCAGTAACAGATACATTTAGATTGTATCCCAGTGGTGTTTCCCTCTCTGCAGTAACAGATACATTTAGATTGTATCCCAGTGGTGTTTCCCTCTCTGCAGTAACAGATACATTTAGATTGTATCCCAGTGGTGTTTCCCTGTCTGCAGTAACAGATACATTTAGATTGTATCCCAGTGGTGTTTCCCTGTCTGCAGTAACAGATACATTTAGATTGTATCCCAGTGGTGTTTCCCTGTCTGCAGTAACAGATACATTTAGATTGTATCCTGGTGGTGTTTCCCTGTCTGCAGTAACAGATACATTTAGATTGTATCCTGGTGGTGTTTCCCTGTCTGCAGTAACAGATACATTTAGATTGTATCCCAGTGGTGTTTCCCTGTCTGTAGTAACAGATACATTTAGATTGTATCCTGGTGGTGTTTCCCTCTCTGCAGTAACTGATACATTTAGATTGTATCCTGGTGGTGTTTCCCTGTCTGCAGTAACTGATACATTTAGATTGTATCCTGGTGGTGTTTCCCTCTCTGCAGTAACTGATACATTTAGATTGTATCCCAGTGGTGTTTCCCTCTCTGCAGTAACAGATACATTTAGATTGTATCCCAGTGGTGTTTCCCTGTCTGCAGTAACAGATACATTTAGATTGTATCCCAGTGGTGTTTCCCTGTCTGCAGTAACAGATACATTTAGATTGTATCCCAGTGGTGTTTCCCTGTCTGCAGTAACAGATACATTTAGATTGTATCCTGGTGGTGTTTCCCTGTCTGCAGTAACTGATACATTTAGATTGTATCCTGGTGGTGTTTCCCTGTCTGCAGAAACTGATACATTTAGATTGTATCCCAGTGGTGTTTCCCTCTCTGCAGTAACAGATACATTTAGATTGTATCCTGGTGGTGTTTCCCTGTCTGCAGTAACTGATACATTTAGATTGTATCCCAGTGGTGTTTCCCTGTCTGCAGTAACAGATACATTTAGATTGTATCCCAGTGGTGTTTCCCTGTCTGCAGTAACAGATATATTTAGATTGTATTCCAGTGGTGTTTCCCTGTCTGCAGTAACTGATACATTTAGATTGTATCCTGGTGGTGTTTCCCTGTCTGCAGTAACAGATACATTTAGATTGTATCCCAGTGGTGTTTCCCTGTCTGCAGTAACAGATACATTTAGATTGTATTCCAGTGGTGTTTCCCTCTCTGCAGTAACTGATACATTTAGATTGTATCCCAGTGGTGTTTCCCTGTCTGCAGTAACTGATACATTTAGATTGTATCCCAGTGGTGTTTCCCTGTCTGCAGTAACAGATACATTTAGATTGTATCCCAGTGGTGTTTCCCTCTCTGCAGTAACAGATACATTTAGATTGTATCCTGGTGGTGTTTCCCTGTCTGCAGTAACAGATACATTTAGATTGTATCCCAGTGGTGTTTCCCTCTCTGCAGTAACTGATACATTTAGATTGTATCCCAGTGGTGTTTCCCTGTCTGCAGTAACTGATACATTTAGATTGTATCCTGGTGGTGTTTCCCTCTCTGCAGTAACAGATACATTTAGATTGTATCCCAGTGGTGTTTCCCTGTCTGCAGTAACAGATACATTTAGATTGTATTCCAGTGGTGTTTCCCTGTCTGCAGTAACAGATACATTTAGATTGTATCCCAGTGGTGTTTCCCTGTCTGCAGTAACAGATACATTTAGATTGTATCCCAGTGGTGTTTCCCTGTCTGCAGTAACAGATACATTTAGATTGTATTCCAGTGGTGTTTCCCTCTCTGCAGTAACAGATACATTTAGATTGTATCCCAGTGGTGTTTCCCTCTCTGCAGTAACAGATACATTTAGATTGTATCCCAGTGGTGTTTCCCTGTCTGCAGTAACAGATACATTTAGATTGTATTCCAGTGGTGTTTCCCTGTCTGCAGTAACAGATACATTTAGATTGTATCCTAGTGGTGTTTCCCTCTCTGCAGTAACAGATACATTTAGATTGTATCCCAGTGGTGTTTCCCTGTCTGCAGTAACAGATACATTTAGATTGTATTCCAGTGGTGTTTCCCTGTCTGCAGTAACAGATACATTTAGATTGTATCCCAGTGGTGTTTCCCTGTCTGCAGTAACAGATACATTTAGATTGTATCCCAGTGGTGTTTCCCTGTCTGCAATAACTGATACATTTAGATTGTATCCCAGTGGTGTTTCCCTCTCTGCAGTAACTGATACATTTAGATTGTATCCTGGTAGTGTTTCCCTGTCTGCAGTAACAGATATATTTAGATTGTATCCCAGTGGTGTTTCCCTGTCTGCAGTAACAGATACATTTAGATTGTATCCCAGTGGTGTTTCCCTCTCTGCAGTAACTGATACATTTAGATTGTATCCTGGTGGTGTTTCCCTGTCTGCAGTAACAGATACATTTAGATTGTATCCCAGTGGTGTTTCCCTCTCTGCAGTAACAGATACATTTAGATTGTATCCCAGTGGTGATTCCCTCTCTGCAGTAACAGATACATTTAGATTGTATTCCAGTGGTGTTTCCCTCTCTGCAGTAACAGATACATTTAGATTGTATTCCAGTGGTGTTTCCCTCTCTGCAGTAACAGATACATTTAGATTGTATCCCAGTGGTGTTTCCCTGTCTGCAGTAACAGATACATTTAGATTGTATCCCAGTGGTGTTTCCCTGTCTGCAGTAACTGATACATTTAGATTGTATCCTGGTGGTGTTTCCCTCTCTGCAGTAACAGATACATTTAGATTGTATCCCAGTGGTGTTTCCCTGTCTGCAGTAACTGATACATTTAGATTGTATCCCAGTGGTGTTTCCCTGTCTGCAGTAACAGATACATTTAGATTGTATTCCAGTGGTGTTTCCCTGTCTGCAGTAACTGATACATTTAGATTGTATCCCAGTGGTGATTCCCTCTCTGCAGTAACAGATACATTTAGATTGTATCCTGGTGGTGTTTCCCTCTCTGCAGTAACTGATACATTTAGATTGTATCCTGGTGGTGTTTCCCTGTCTGCAGTAACAGATACATTTAGATTGTATCCCAGTGGTGTTTCCCTGTCTGCAGTAACAGATACATTTAGATTGTATCCCAGTGGTGTTTCCCTGTCTGCAGTAACAGATACATTTAGATTGTATCCCAGAGGTGTTTCCCTCTCTGCAGTAACAGATACATTTAGATTGTATCCCAGTGGTGTTTCCCTGTCTGCAGTAACAGATACATTTAGATTGTATCCCAGTGGTGTTTCCCTGTCTGCAGTAACTGATACATTTAGATTGTATTCCAGTGGTGTTTCCCTGTCTGCAGTAACTGATACATTTAGATTGTATCCCAGTGGTGTTTCCCTCTCTGCAGTAACTGATACATTTAGATTGTATCCCAGTGGTGTTTCCCTCTCTGCAGTAACAGATACATTTAGATTGTATCCTGGTGGTGTTTCCCTGTCTGCAGTAACAGATACATTTAGATTGTATCCCAGTGGTGTTTCCCTCTCTGCAGTAACTGATACATTTAGATTGTATCCCAGTGGTGTTTCCCTGTCTGCAGTAACTGATACATTTAGATTGTATCCTGGTGGTGTTTCCCTCTCTGCAGTAACAGATACATTTAGATTGTATCCTGGTGGTGTTTCCCTGTCTGCAGTAACAGATACATTTAGATTGTATTCCAGTGGTGTTTCCCTGTCTGCAGTAACAGATACATTTAGATTGTATCCCAGTGGTGTTTCCCTGTCTGCAGTAACAGATACATTTAGATTGTATCCCAGTGGTGTTTCCCTGTCTGCAGTAACAGATACATTTAGATTGTATTCCAGTGGTGTTTCCCTCTCTGCAGTAACAGATACATTTAGATTGTATCCCAGTGGTGTTTCCCTCTCTGCAGTAACAGATACATTTAGATTGTATCCTGGTGGTGTTTCCCTCTCTGCAGTAACAGATACATTTAGATTGTATCCCAGTGGTGTTTCCCTGTCTGCAGTAACAGATACATTTAGATTGTATCCCAGTGGTGTTTCCCTGTCTGCAGTAACAGATACATTTAGATTGTATCCTGGTGGTGTTTCCCTCTCTGCAGTAACAGATACATTTAGATTGTATCCCAGTGGTGTTTCCCTGTCTGCAGTAACAGATACATTTAGATTGTATTCCAGTGGTGTTTCCCTGTCTGCAGTAACAGATACATTTAGATTGTATCCCAGTGGTGATTCCCTCTCTGCAGTAACAGATACATTTAGATTGTATTCCAGTGGTCTTTCCCTCTCTGCAGTAACAGATACATTTAGATTGTATTCCAGTGGTGTTTCCCTGTCTGCAGTAACAGATACATTTAGATTGTATCCCAGTGGTGTTTCCCTGTCTGCAGTAACAGATACATTTAGATTGTAT